CATACAAAAAATGTCACACACATTACACATCAACTATCAGTAAATTGTATGACTATTGAATTGTGACTGCACAAGCGGTGTAGTAATCTGAGAGGTGGATATACTGTGAAATTACATACAAATGGCAATTTCAATTTGAAAGCATAATAACTGCACATCTATGAAACTTCAGACAATAAAGCATTTTTTAAAACAATGGCACTTCAAATTTTGAACTAAAATGTTATTGATAATAAAGAAATGATTTGTCCAAAAAGAATGATTACTTATAAATTGAGAATTTGTTATTCATATGGTGGTCATCCGGCGTATGCTGCATTTCTTTAATGCGAAGAGAACCTACAGACCACATTTCATGTTTGTGTGTGTGAGAGTGAGGAAGAATTTGACTGAAGTTTTTAAGTGAACTTTTTGTGTTTGTGAGTGTGTCCCTTGTTCAAAACTATTGTCAGATGTGCTGCCGTGGAAATGAACACTGACGTGAATCAGACATGCAAACAGCTGCAGTCAGAGCAGATCAGCCCAAATGTTTAGTCTGAGACGAGCCTCAAGAATGGGTCTGTTTGCTTTACTGTGTGACTCTACAGGCTGATCACTAGCTGATCCTGTTTATTTGTTTACACAATTATCTGATGAGGCTTTTCACTCGTGAACAAAGGCGGCAGATGAGAAATGAACTTGTGACTCTTGCTGCTGTGTCTCTGATTAAGGATGTTTCCATAAGCTGCCTGTATTTGACTGACTACTCAACAAGTCAACCCTCTTTATTAAATGGCGCTACAGTGTTATTCTGTAGAAAGCAGCACGTAATAACATTCTCCACCATTGAAACTACTATTCAGCTGACGCAAAAGCTGTGTTATTGGGTAAAAATAACATTGGCCAATAATAACACAGCTCACTTTTCATAACCCAATCAATTCCAAATGGATAAAGATTGGCTGGATTTATGGATTAGTCCTGCCCCACATTATTTTTTTCCACTAAATATTCAGTTTTCCTCAGACGGTCCCGCCCCAAACTCATGCCACTGGCTGATTCGCATTTCAAGCCAATTTATTTTCACAGCTTTTTGAAGGTTTACCCAAGTGAAAGGACAGCACAGGCCTGGAGTGCTATCTTTGAATCTGAGTGCTTCCTGTTTTCATTGCAGGCTGACCCTCGTCTTAGCAGGAGACACGCTGAGGGCACCAACTGACTAATTGAGAGAATTCAAAGTTTGTCTCCATTAAACTGTTGGATGATCCTGCCACGATGTCAGTACAAACTACACTTCACCACTGCCCTGCGTCTCTCTCTCTCTGAGCCACGGTGAAGGTTCTTCTCCTTCTTGCTCATTAAATATGAAGCCTAATAGAGCAATACACCCCACAGTGGAGTTTATCTTTCCGATAACATAAGCTCTGTGCCGTATGGGAAAGCTTACGGCAGCCAGCTGGGATTTCCTCCTGCTAATGGCACTGGAAGAGATCCAGAGTGCTCCAGGAGGAAGAGCACATCTCTGGGGCTTCGACTGCAGCGCATTCTGACCCAAACTCTGGAGTTCTGCGGAAGCTCTTCGGTCGGGTGCAGAATGTGCCACATGCATCTCCTGTGGGACCATGCTTTGCACCCCTGTGGGATTGGCTGTTGGCTCAGAGAGACTTATAAGGGCGGACTCAGAGACTGTTCCTCGGAAGAGGAGGCCATCGATTTCAGCCCACAATTGTAATTGTTAGCAAGCTCGTTTTTTTTTGTGAGCGTGGGGGATGGAAATGGGGGAGGGAAGGGGTTACGTCCTTTTGAGACCCTCAGAATAGGTGACAATGGCTCAATGTTGAGAACATATGTAAAGGGACCCCCACCGCTCATGGAAGAGCAGCTCCGCTTTGGCCCCGCGTTTGAGAAAATACAACCTCGCCGCTTTTCTTTTGCCCCCTCCAATGAATGGTTGAATGGAGAGCTGCCGCTATGGGCCATTCAGGGCCAAAGTCCCCATGAATTCACCCGCACACAAATGCATCCTCAACTGGAAAATACATTTGCTTAACAAATTAAAATAAAAGGCCTGATGTGTTAGTGTGTGGCACAGCCGTGTGGTGTAAAGGATTGCGCGGGGGGCTGCAGTCGGTACTTTGGGATAATTCAATTAAGTCTCTATGGTCGGAAAAGGATGGAAAAAATAGAAAGCTGGGTTAAAAGGATGGATTATTGCTCACGCTCATAAAGACGCTGAAATAAGAGAAACGCCTAAAAGGACGACGGAAACTTCTGCATTTCTACTAATGAAAATTCTTCTTACATTTTCATTGCATTTAAAACAATTCTAAAAGAACAGGAGTGCATCTCTTGTGAATGTGGTGAATGGAGATCTCCCGAGCTGCCAGTAAAGACGCCTAATGATCTTTGAAAAAAGCGCGAAATTCCTGCGTGATATGGAGCCGAGTGAATGAAGCGAGAGGCGTTTGTGGGTAAAAGCGGCGAGGTAGGTGGTGGGTTGACGCCTCCCTCTTCATTACTTTACACACAAGCTGAGCACACCAAGCGGTTCTGGGAGCGTGAAGGGGACGGCAAATGAAAAGAGCGCAAGGATAAAGCCGAGAAAAGCGAGGCGTCTTTGCCTGTCTGTCAAATTGGGCTGCGGTGGAGTCGTTCTGATGATGATGAGAGTTATAAGCGCATGGCAGAGTTCAGATTATCCCGCAGCAGTTTCTAATGGATTTACAGCCCTTTTAATTAGCTGTGTTTAAAGGGGTCCTATTATGCTTTTTCACTTTTTCAACTTTAGTTAGTCTGTAATGTTGCTGTTTGAGCATAAAAAAGATCTACAAAGTTACAAAGCTCAAAGTTCACTTCAAAAGGAGATATTTTATTTAACAGAAATCACTTTTCAAAACTACAACGAACGACTCGTTTGGACTACAATGCATATTTTCCGGGATTTGTGATATCACAAATATCGACGAATATTACAAGAATATATTACAAGAGACCTGCTTGAGCTGCACTAGAGAAGGCAACGAGTGTTATCACTATGTCGGAGACTCGCTAGTTTTCCCAAGGCAGACGAACTTAGAGTGGTTACAGTCATCCGGGTTTCAAT